CTGTGATGTCATGCCTATCCCTATATGATTGTCCAGGAAATAACAGCTGTACTATCTCGTCCCAAGCTGGATTGCATGTGAAGGTGATAAATAAATCTGGACGGCCGTAGCAACGAACATATGCCATGGCATCTTGAGCATATTCATGCATGTGTCGTGAACTACCTATGTATAAGGATGGCAAAATCGTGAGCTTTCCAACTTTGGTTGTATTACGGTCATTCATCACAGCATCCCGCAAATGGATATATTCAATCGAAGGAGCCTGACAGTATATGCAGACCTGATGCATCCGGCCAATAACGACATTCGATTCGAGCTGTAATCAACAGTTGGATTATATCTTAATGCAAGACGATTGTATTGCAGGTTTTGATCTGCTGCAAGCTGTAAACGCGCTTCAGCTACCCTTGCCCTGTCGCGTTCATTATTTTGAGAGTGAATCAAATCGATTGCTGCAGAACGCGACTGCCTAACTCTCAATCGTTTTCTCTCAAGCCTATCTGCTCGTCTTTCTGCTGATTCCTCGTTGTGCATCTGCATTGCTTTCAGCCGCTCAGTCTCTCGGATGCAGGCCCGTTCTTCGTCAGTCATATTCGTTATCTTACGTGTGTTTGCTTCTGTATTGCGAGTACGACGACCCAAACTCGACTACTTGGGTGGCATGACTTCGTTTCTTACTGAACCTGAACAAAAAAATAAAATTTGTATCTCCAATTCCTTATTTCAAAATGTTTTGAATGTTTGACAGGAAATGCTTCGATTCAGCTGGCTGCCTGTAGGGGGCGCAGCAGTAGGGACACGGGGAAACGCTAAAAAATTGATATATTCGCAACCGCAGATAAGCTATCAACATCAAAAGTAGACAATAACCGAGCTGGAACCTCAACGCATGTTGTGTAAAAATTTGGTCTTAAACGGTTCAGAACTTTTCAAGTCTATGAAGGATGTAGACACGAACAGAGCATTTATATATATATAGACTAGCTGTACCCTGCCATGTTTCTCTGTGGCATATTGTGGTTAAGCGGGCACTTCTGAATACATCAAGGTTATGGCAAAAGCATCTTCCTGGCATAAGGTGAAGAAGGCAGTCAGAGTTGTCGTGGGCGGATTCAGGACTCTTTCTTGCACATTTAGTTCTGTGAAATAGACGTGTTGACCATTCTCCAAATTGACTGCCAAGTGAACTACAGCTGGATAGCGTTCATGAATTGGGATCGAAAAAATTCGCCATGCAGCCTCGTTGCTGCTTATGTATCTTCCAGCCTGGTATTGAGAGATTTCATCGACAACTCGTACTGCATTGCTGTCACCATTTTCTGCCTGAACACCAAAAACTGCCATATCGCTGCCTTTATTCACGTACTTGCAGTTATATTTAATCGATTTCACGGAATTGCAATATTCTACGTTGATGTGCGATTTGTATGATTTTGACAATAGTGGTGAGTATGGAACCACCCAACGATTGTCTACCTCAATATCACCAATTCTCATGTTTAAAGTTGCCGAAGTCCCTCCATCTTCACTTGACCGTCTCCTATACAGAGGATATCCATCGTCCCCTGTTACGGTGTTGGCTGTAAATGCTCGAGGATATCGCTTGGAACACTTCCCGTCTTCCATTCATGGTGAACATGGGTTGAGGGTACCACAAGGGCCATGGATCATGTTCTTGATGATAACTTAATGCAAATCCGTATCAACCTCGACCCGTGGAATCTCAGCGCATATAACATCGTCGGTTTCGTCTGGAGTAATTTTATCATACAGCCAAATCAGTATGTGCGCATGCGGCAATCCTCTCTTCTGCCACTCTACTGAATACATCCAGCACCGCACAGATCCAAAAACTCCATGTTTCACAATGAAATCCATCAGTGACTTGACCTTTTGTCTGAAAACACGGTCTGTGATGTCATGCCTATCCCTATATGATTGTCCAGGAAATAACAGCTGTACTATCTCGTCCCAAGCTGGATTGCATGTGAAGGTGATAAATAAATCTGGACGGCCGTAGCAACGAAAATATGCCATGGCATCTTGAGCATATTCATGCATGTGTCGTGAACTACCTATGTATGAGGATGGCAAAATCGTGAGCTTTCCAACTTTGGTTGTATTACGGTCATTCAGCACAGCATCCCGCAAATGGATATATTCAATCGAAGGAGCCTGACAGTATATGCAGACCTGATGCATCCGGCCAATAACGACATTCGATTCGAGCTGTAATCAACAGTTGGATTATATCTTAATGTAAGACGATTGTATTGCAGGTTTTGATCTGCTGCAAGCTGTAAACGCGCTTCAGCTACCCTTGCCCTGTCGCGTTCATTATTTTGAGAGTGAATCAAATCGATTGCTGCAGAACGCGACTGCCTAACTATCAATCGTTTTCTCTCAAGCCTATCTGCTCGTCTTTCTGCTGATTCCTCGTTGTGCATCTGCATTGCTTTCAGCCGCTCAGTCTCTCGGATGCAGGCCCGTTCTTCGTCAGTCATATTCGTAATCTTACGTGTGTTTGCTTCTGTATTGCGAGTACGACGACCCAAACTCGACTACTTGGGTGGCATGACTTCGTTTCTTACTGAACCTGAACAAAAAAATAAAATTTGTATCTCCAATTCCTTATTTCAAAATGTTTTGAATGTTTGACAGGAAATGCTTCGATTCAGCTGGCTGCCTGTAGGGGGCGCAGCAGTAGGGACACGGGGAAACGCTAAAAAATTGATATATTCGCAACCGCAGATAAGCTATCAACATCAAAAGTAGACAATAACCGAGCTGGAACCTCAACGCATGTTGTGTAAAAATTTGGTCTTAAACGGTTCAGAACTTTTCAAGTCTATGAAAGATGTAGACACGAACAGAGCATTTATATATATATAGACTAGCTGTACCCTGCCACGTTTCTCTGTGGCATATTGTGGTTAAGCGGGCACTTCTGAATACATCAAGGTTATGGCAAAAGCATCTTCCTGGCATAAGGTGAAGAAGGCAGTCAGAGTTGTCGTGGGCGGATTCAGGACTCTTTCTTGCACATTTAGTTCTGTGAAATAGACGCGTTGACCATTCTCCAAATTGACTGTCAAGTGAACTACAGCTGGATAGCGTTCATGATTGGGATCGAAAAAATTCGCCATGCAGCCTCGTTGCTGCTTATGTATCTTCCAGCCTGGTATTGAGAGATTTCATCGACAACTCGTACTGCATTGCTGTCACCATTTTCTGCCTGAACACCAAAAACTGCCATATCGCTGCCTTTATTCACGTACTTGCAGTTATATTTAATCGATTTCACGGAATTGCAATATTCTACGTTGATGTGCGCTTTGTATGATTTTGACAATAGTGGTGAGTATGGAACCACCCAACGATTGTCTACCTCAATATCACCAATTCTCATGTTTAAAGTTGCCGAAGTCCCTCCATCTTCAGTTGACCGTCTCCTATACAGAGGATATCCATCGTCCCCTGTTACGGTGTTGGCTGTAAATGCTCGAGGATATCGTTTGGAACACTTCCCGTCTTCCATTCATGGTGAACATGGGTTGAGGGTACCACAAGGGCCATGGATCATGTTCTTGATGATAACTTCATGCAAATCCGTATCAACCTCGACCCGTGGAATCTCAGCGCATATAACATCGTCGATTTCGTCTGGAGTAATATTATCATACAGCCAAAACAGTATGTGCGCATGCGGCAATCCTCTCTTCTGCCATTCTACTGAATACATTCAGCACCGCACAGATCCAAAAACTCCATGTTTCACAATGAAATCCATCAGTGACTTGACCTTTTGTCTGAAAACACGGGCTGTGATGTCATGCCTATCCCTATATGATTGTCCAGGAAATAACAGCTGTACTATCTCGTCCCAAGCTGGATTGCATGTGAAGGTGATAAATAAATCTGGACGGCCGTAGCAACGAACATATGCCATGGCATCTTGAGCATATTCATGCATGTGGCGTGGACTACCTATGTATGAGGATGGCAAAATCGTGAGCTTTCCAACGTTGGTTGTATTACGGTCATTCATCACAGCATCCCGCAAATGGATATATTCCTCGGACCGAAGTTTCGTCTGATTCAATCGAAGAGGCCTGACAGTATATGCAGACCTGATGCATCCGGCCAATAACGACATTGCGATTCGAGCTGTAATCAATAGTTGGATTATATCTGAATGTAAGACGATGGTATTGCAGGTTTTGATCTGCTGCAAGCTGTAAACGCGCTTCAGCTACCCTTGCCCTGTCGCGTTCATTATTTTGAGTGTGAATCAAATCGATTGCTGCAGAACGCGACTGCCTAACTCTCAATCGTTTTCTCTCAAGCCTATCTGCTCGTCTTTCTGCTGATTCTTCGTTGTGCATCTGCATTGCTCTCAGCCGCTCAGTCTCTCTCAGTCATATTCGTAATCTTACGTGTGTTTGCTTCTGTATTGCGAGTACGACGACCCAAACTCGACTTCTTGGGTGGCATGACTTCGTTTCTTACTGAACCTGAACAAAAAAATAAAATTTTTATCTCCAATTCCTTCTTTCAAAATGTTTTGAATGTTTGACAGGAAATGCTTTGATTCAGCTGGCTGCCTGTAGAGGGCGCAGCAGTAGGGGCACGGGGAAACGCTAAAAAAGCTGATATATTCGCAACCGCAGATAAGCTATCAACATCAAAAGTAGACAATAACCGAGCTGGAACCTCAACGCATGTTGTGTAAAAATTTGGGCTTAAACGGTTCAGAACTTTTCAAGTCTATGAAGGATGTAGACACGAACAGAGCATTTTTATATATATAAGATATACAAATAAATACATATCTAATCGTTTTTATGGAGTAAAATTCTCTTGCTGAACGTGACTTTGTCTGTATAAATAGACGGTAAGTGGTAAATTTTTGTCTGTGGAAATAAGGTATTAAAAATTTATTTAACCACATTTGTTTCTCCATTTTTGGATTAATTGCTTGGCTGCCTTTGGGCACACTTTTTTATATCGATCTTTCTTTTCTTTCTTTTTTAGTGGAAGCATCGCACGCGGTGTAATTTTCATTAAAAGTGAAAAATGGTGAGCAATAAGAATTAATATAATGGAGTGTAAATTGAAATACTAATCAAAAAAGAAAACGGACAAATATTAAATAACTTAGCAATTACTCTTAACAGTTATTGTTCACTGCTTGGTATTATTTGGCTTTGATGTATACGTGCACACTTCCTTTGGTTTCGTTTCCGGAACGTGATCACACGTGGATTTGGTCGAAATTAAATTATTTTTATACATATTTATATCTAATCTTATATAAATGGTGAGAAATTTGATAAAATAAAAACTTGAATGAGGAATTTTATGAAAATATATATATTTTAAATATTTAATGTTTAATGTTCGTACATCTATATGTATTTTGTTCGCAATAACTCCATAATATTTTTTTATTTGATTGCAGGGTTTCGTTAAGGTAGTCAAGAACAAGCAGTACTTCAAGCGCTACCAGGTCAAGTTTCGCAGGCGCCGTGAAGGCAAGACCGATTACTATGCCAGGAAGCGCTTGACTTTCCAGGACAAGAACAAGTACAACACTCCGAAGTATCGTTTGATTGTGCGCCTGTCCAACAAGGATATAACTGTGCAGATCGCATATGCTCGCATTGAGGGTGACCGCGTTGTGTGTGCCGCTTATTCCCATGAGCTCCCCAAGTTTGGCATCCAAGTAAGATATCTAAATTTTAAGAATAAAGAGCATGACTGATTGTTTATTATGTTTAAAGGTTGGTTTGACCAACTATGCTGCAGCCTACTGCACTGGCCTTCTGGTCGCTCGTCGGGTCCTCAATAAGCTGGGCCTCGACTCTCTGTATGCCGGGTGCACTGAAGTGACTGGAGAGGAGTTCAATGTGGAGCCAGTTGACGACGGACCGGGCGCCTTCCGTTGCTTTTTGGACGTTGGACTGGCTCGCACCACAACTGGTGCTCGCGTGTTCGGTGCCATGAAAGGAGCTGTTGATGGAGGATTGAATATACCTCACTCCGTAAAACGCTTCCCCGGCTACTCGGCTGAGACAAAGAGCTTTAATGCCGATGTGCATCGAGCTCATATCTTTGGTCAGCATGTTGCCGACTACATGCGAACTCTGGAGGAGGAAGACGAGGAAAGCTTCAAGCGCCAGTTCAGCCGTTACATCAAGCTTGGCATCCGTGCGGATGATGTAAGTACTGAAATTTTACATTCAACGTCCGCTTTCAAAATTACTGCTGTGTGTTGAACCCACAACGCGGCAGTGCCAAAAGGGGACCACAATAATACTGAACTGACCTCTGTTCGAAACTCTTCCCTTTAATGGGACAAGCTTCCTGTTATGGTTAGACATTCTATAGTTATTTATGTTATATTCAACTTCGAATTAAACGAAACTCTATTTTTTTAGCTTGAAGATATCTATAAAAAAGCCCACCAGGCCATTCGTAGCGACCCTACCCATAAGGTCAATGCCAAGAAGGCAACTGGCATTACGAAGAAACGGTGGAATGCTAAGAAACTCACCAACGAGCAGCGTAAGACCAAGGTTGCCGCCCACAAGGCAGCTTATGTGGCCAAGCTTCAGTCTGAAACTGAGGCCTAAGGCAGTTCGTTGTCATCTGTTGCAGTGAAGAAAGAAATAAATAGTAATGACGATTGCCAATACGTCATAAGCATAACATCTTTTTATTGTATCAAACATATAATTAATTTTAAGATCCCATTTCAGTAGCTCTTCCATTTAGTTTTCACAAGTTTTATAATCCTCGTAACGCCGAAGATTAAAACGCATTAATCTTCATGTGATGACTTCTATAAGGCAGTCTGAAACCGAACAAAAAGTTCCCTTAAGGGGGTAGACCACCCTGACATTTTTTAAAAATCGGATTTTTTTTTACTTAATCTTGATGCCGATATTCTTACGGTCATTGTAAGACATTGGCCTTAAAAATATCTCATTACTCGTGGATTCTACAGCCATTAGAAGTGAGCGCTGCTGGTATACCTTAGAGTACTTTCTTTATCTTTTGCGTTCTCAAAACTACGTTTTACATGATTTCTCCATGATTTCTAGACCGATTCTCTTCAAATTTTTTTACACAGCTTCTCTATAATGCCCTCTGTGGCATGACGTAGGATTTTTTCGATGATTTTTTTTTAAGTTAAAAATTTTTAAAACAAAAATTTCGTCAAAAAAATTTTTTCAAAGTGCTCCCATTTGCTCAAAAAAAATTTTTCGAAAAACGGCTACGTCATGCTATAGCCATACTTATATAGCTTATACAAAATTTTGTTTTAGAAATTCGGATAATAAATGTGGTGTGCAGCATGTACACCATCCGACCATTCCCTAAAAAAAAAATCGTTTTTTTATCTCTATATCCGGCTATATCTCCGCCGTTCGTAATTTTTTTTTTCTTTCAATAAGTATTTTTTAGTTTAACATATGTACTTTGATGTACTAATAAATAAAAAGTTGTATTCCTCATAACTTAGTCAAAATGAATTTTTGAAAAACCCTCAAATTTTCATGCGTTCAGGGTGGTCTACCCCCTTAACTGATATCATGTTTTAATATAACTTCCTATCACTTTTTTTAAAATAAAGTGTCGATGATTTATTGAAAGCTCTAGGACAGATGTTATAGAAAAAGCAACTAGTATACACTGTAAGAAGAAAGCAAACTGCAAGAATAATTTTTCTGATAGTATTAATTTTTGTCAAGGCGAAATTAAATCGACTATTTGCTAATTTAAACGTGTTCTTGGATCGCCGAAAAATCTGCATTGATAGAAATCTTAAGTTCATTTGGTTTCTGTCGCTGTTATTCATAGAGCCTTTTGACATTTTTTTATTATGTAGAAATGGAGAACATTAATAAAAATCTGTATTAATTTTTTATACCCTTGCAGGGTATTATAAGTTTGCAACATATATATATATATGTATATATATATATTATTGATCAAAATCATGTACATACGTCTGTCCGTTTCTACGTAAAATAGTCTCTCATTTGAAACTAAGTAAATTAAACTGCAGTTAGTCTTCTATTTACTCTCACTAGTATACAAGTTTGAATTGAACGACTACATCATCAAATTAAAAAAATGTCGATTTGGTATTACATTTCGCTTTTAATTTAATAAAAATCGGATGATTGGTAAATGTAGAGGAAAATGCAAAAGTAAAACTGCAACTCTAAAAAAATACTGATTTTATTTTTTTAATTGCTTCATTATAAGTTAAAACTTATAAATTAGTGCCGTAGTCACAATGGGTTAAAATTCACATTTTATATTTGACTACAAAAAATCTTTATATGTATGTATATAACGGATAAATAACTTATACCATTTCATCATTCAAATTTTATAACTCCATACTAATTTGCTTAGATTTATTTGAGCCCAAAACAGGCAACAGACCTTAATTTCTTTAAGGGGGGTGAGGTATTTTTTGTTTTTGTTTTTTTTTTTAAGTTTTATATTGAATGCATTATATCAGAAGATTGTGCCAACATTTCAAGTCAATAAAAACAAAATTTATAAAGTTATGAGTATTTTTATACTTGCCGGATTTGCGTTTTACACTGGATTTTTTTGAGCTTGAAACTTTAAAGCGCTTTTCCCACAAGTCACGTTTTCAAAGTCGGTGGCAATCATAACATCAAAACTACTGCACCGATTTTAAACAATGTTTCCGTACATATTTTGCGAGATAACGCTGTAGTTTTTTAATTTTTGTTCATAAGTTTAATTTTACAATGACAAATTAGACGATTTTTTCTCAAAAAGTCGTGTTTTTCTCTTGAAGTTAAAAAAAAAAAAATGTAAGAACTAGAATTTAAAAAAACTTCACAGCATTACCTGGGGTATTCTATAATCTAACGAATGAATTTGGATTTTTTGATTTCCGATTATCCGGAACGGAGTTATGATTGGCACCGTAATTTAACTTTTTTCGAGTCACGTCCGGAAAATTGCTACAATTGCCATATTTTTGAATATTTCTTAATAAAAATTTTATAAGACATTCTTAAAATGTTATACTTTAATGTACCATTCGTTAAATAAATATATTTTAGTTGTGTCGTCGCGAAAAAAAAAAATTACAAAAACATGCAATTTTTCGCATTATTTGACCCTGCCTCCCCCTTAAAAAGTTCTAGACGCTAAATGGTTTAATCAATCGGTACAATATTTTCGCCAAGGTCCCACTATATTGAATATTCTATTTAATTTAATATTAGATTGATAGATTAATTTGGAGTTTCTCCATCCTTTTATTTGGACCAACTAAATTCCAACTAGCAGCAAAGAAAATATTACCTGCGGATCTCCCGACATTCAATGGTAACTCAGCACATTGGCCAATCTTCATAAGCATGTTCCAGAACAGCTGCTCGATAGCCGGATTTTTGGACGAGGAGAACAAGTTTCGTCTCCAAAAGTTTCTGAAGGGAAAAGCCTATGAATTGGTGCGTGATAAGAGGAAGTCCAAACTCTTAAAACACTTTTTTGGGCGACCGGCGCATAACCTCGATCAGCTGATCAATAAAATTCGCAAAATAACTGTAACCAAGACATATTGAAATCCATCAAAGACTTTGCGATGGCAGTGCGCAACATCTCGACAACTCGACAAATGCTTCTGCGTGAGCTGGTTGAGAAGTTGCCTACTCAACATAAATTAAGGTAGGCTTTACATTCGCGCAGTGCCTCTATACCTGTGTACTATGGTCCAGAAGTTGATTTTTATACCCTTGCAGGGTATTATTATTTCAGTCAGAAGTTTGCAACGCAGTGAAGGAGGCACCTCTGACTATATAAAGTATATATATTCTTGATCAGGATCAACAGCTGAGTCGATCTAGCCATGTCTGTCTGTCCGTTTCTACGCAAACTAGTCTCTCAGTTTTGAAACTATCTGAATGAAACTTTGCACTTAGTCTTCTATATACTCTCACTCGTATATATGTCGGAACGGGCCGTATCGGACGATTATCATATTGCTGCCATAGGAATGATTGGAAAATTTTTACAAAAAAAAATTATAACATTTTTAGTTTTTAACAGAATTTGATCAAATTTAAGATATAGCCATTTCATATAATTCTAAAATTTTGTGTAAAATTTTATGAAAATTGGACGACTATATCAAATAGCTCCCATAGGAACGATCGAGAAATTAATTTAATTAAAAAGTATAACATTTTCAGTTCTCAACAGTTTTTAGTTTTCAACAGAATTCGATCAAATTTAAGATATAGCCATTTCATATTATTCTAAAATTTTGTGTAAAATTTTATGAAAATTGGACGACTATATCATATAGCTCCCATAGGAACGATCGAGAAATTAATTCAATTAAAAAGTATAACATTTTCAGTTCTCAACAGATTTTCATCAAATTTGATACATAGCAATTTTATAAGAAATAAAAGAAATTAATAAAATTAAAGGTTATAACTTCTTCAGTTTTCACCAGATTTTCATCTGTTCACGTCAGGTGGCCTTCGCGGCGCCGCCTCTGCCCACCGAGATTCCAAAGTTTTGCCGCTCTTGCACTCCCGCAAGTCGGCTCTTCGCGCACTGCTCATCGGGCTAGTCTAAGCGCTCCCTCGCCCACTGTTCGCGAACTCCCGCTCCCGAATTCCCGATTTTCGCTCGCTGCTAAGCGAGCTGAGGGACGGCTAGTTCGCGCTCCACTTCGCGGGCCCAGCATACTAATTCTAAATAAACATTATAGTACCAACTTTACATTTGGGGGCTCGTACCGGGTCTGAGATAAACAATTAAGAAAAGAGTTAAATTAACTAGTGAGTGACTAGAAGCTGTGAACAGAAGTTGTAAAATTCGGTTGAAAAAAGAAACTGCGTAGTAAAGCGATTCAGGTAGAAAAAAATATCAAAGAGGACAGCTGCGCAGTTTAATTCTGTACTCTTATATTCCTTTCGCTGTGACTTGGATACGGGGAAAAAATAAAAAATGACGCGTAGAACGCCGGCAAAAAATAGAAAACATAGAAGAGAAGTACAAGATATGGAAGAAGTCGAGGAGGAGCAGAAAGAAGCAGTGGAACTGAAAGAAAATGAGAATGTATTGGAAGTTTCGGATATGAAGAATAAAATCGACAATATATTGCAGTTGTTGTCATTAAAAATTCAAATTGATGAGAGCACAAATGGCCGCGCCAAGCCACAAATTGATAATTTTGAGAAAGTGGTAAACGATTTTGATGGTCAATTGGTGCAACAATGGTTCGAAATGTTCGAAAAAAATGCAGATGCATACGATCTCTCACTTAAACAGATGTATGTACAAGCCAGAGGCAAGATGATAGGTGCAGCCAAATTGTTTCTACAGTCAGTGTGTGTGAGCGAATATAGTGAGCTAAAGAGAGCACTGATAGAAGAGTTTTCAAGCAGTACCAGCAGCGCCGACGTGCATCGCCAGTTGCAAAGCAGGAAGAAAAAGAAGAGCGAGACATTTCACGAATACATTTTACATTTACGTTAGATTGCCATGGCAGGAAAGGATGAGGAATCAGCGGTGCTGCAGTACATCGTAAACGGACTAGTTGATGTAAAAAATGAGTACAAGGCAATACTTTATTCGTGCAAGACCTTCAAATCCCTCAGAGAACAATATGAAATTAT